GCTTTTATGTTGAATGTTTGTTTTGCTTGGTACATATAATCAGGAGTCTATCAATAAAATTGATTGACAGACTCCTGATATAATGTATTGCTTACAGATTTATATAATGTACAGTGATACAATTTGTAAAAAAAAAAGAATGGGAAGGGTCAATAAAAATGTTTTGAGTCGGCCCCTTTTTGGCGGGTCGGTCGGGTGAGGGCAAACAAACAATATTTTTATTATGGCCTAATCGCTAATGGTGGCTCGTGTAATGTTTTTTTTAGAGTGCATGAGCACTAGACATTTCGTGAATTGTGTTGTATTGACATTTACGAGCACGACATTGGCCTTTATCACAGATTTCTATAGCATATACATTAGCAGGCTTTGTAAACGGGTTACTGAAATCCTAGCTAGACCTAGATATTAATTTATACCCCTGCTGCAGTGTAACAACTAGCTTGCGCGTAGAATGTTAATTCACGAGCTGGCGAGCGAGCTCGATCGCCCGCAACAGCTGGCAAAACGGGTGCCAGCGTGGCTTTTGCGACTGATTTAACATTGCTTGCTACAATGCACCGAAGGTTTATGCTGCATTTACGCCACCCACGCTGTGGCGGGGGTGTTGATTGATCTCTGGGCTCCGAGTCAAAAATTGTCTGAAGAAATTGTGTAGTGTAAAGTGTATTGATGAATAAGAATGCATAGGGATGAGTAAGTCTAAGGAGGGAAAACGAATCCCTTATAGAAGCTAGCTCAACAATAACTTAATAAAAAAAGACTTGATGGTGCTCAGTTCGTGCGCTATATATGTTGACTTCTTGTTTATGTTTATTTATCACAGTTTTTGCTCAACTTGCAGACAGCTTTCCATATTGTCGGCTGTTCTAACGCCTTCATAATCATATACACTATTATACAGTAACACAGCAATGACACCAAAACAGCCGACTGTGGGGTCCGCGATGTTATCGTGTGTTAATACGACAATCGTAGTGAAGTTTTCCGAATCACTCATTTTGTTAGCTCACCTTGACATCGTCAAGCTGAGCTATTGTCATGGGTCGTCGTCTGTCATACGTCAGTCCGTCCGTCCGTCCGTCCGTCCGTCCGTCCGTCCGTCCATCCGTCCATTCGTCAACATTTGGCTACGGTCAACGATAACTCAGGAACCGTTTGACCCACATGTTTGAAATTGGGTATAGTTGTTACTGCTATGCTCCCATATTAAACGTCCTATTTTGGAGCACGGCAGTCGACGCACTTTCGAGCCACGGCAATTTTTTTGCCAAAAATGGGAAGTGCCATTAGTCAGTTCAGGTTCAACGGATTTTGCTCATTTTTGGTATGTGAATGAATAAGGGCAGCATGATGGGGTTTTAAAGCCTAGGGTTAAGCCGGCATTAGGGTTGTTAGGGTTATGAATATTGTGATGTTGTATGATGATGTTGATTCATGTAAAAGGGTACTAAAGTAGGCCTGTTTTGAGGAATGGCTCAGGGCGCATATTGCTACTAGCTGTCACACAATACTATAGAATCGGCTTGAGAAAACACACCAATTACTTTCATTGAATTGATGACATACCTTCAGAATTCACTACAATATTTAATAATTTTGGGATGTACCAATTTAGTGAATACACAACTGGAGAATATAACTCCAGCTAACTAACCTTTCCCAGTTCTTTCATCTCTTCCATGAATGGCTTGGTTGCAATTTCCACGTGAACTGGATTTCCACAGTTTTTGACACAGGACTCGAGTACCTAAAGAGTTAAGATCAGCCATTACTAGGTAAAAACGACTGTGTCAATGTGAGATATGAGTTTATAACATGACAGGCTTGTGTAGAACTACGACATACATTGTAATACCAAGCAATGATACACATCATTGAGAAAATGCGTTCTCTGCATTCAAATTTTATTCGAAAATGTTATTATAACTTACCTGTAGGGCAAACATTGCCACAAATGGATTTTGGTTGAACATCTTTTTCCTAATGCATTGGAGTGCATACTTGGGTCTAGACGAAAATGGAAAACATGAATCGATATAAATTTACGTAATATGTACAGATGACCACAATACCAACATATGTCTAAAAGATCGATCAATACTCTTCTCCGATATCTCCTCATGTTATCAGACATAACGGTTTGAAGATTTATAATAAGAAAACATTTCAGTGATTTATCTCGAACAAGAAATTCCCTGTGAAAGCATTGGAAATTAATTACAATACATTCATGCTTTTACTTACTGTACATCACCCTGCCTGATGCTGTCACATATTTGTAATATGGAATCCCAGTCAGGTTCTAACAGCAGCTGGCTTGTTGCCTTCTCTGAAAATGCAACATACTGTAATCAGTTTTTAGAACCGAGTGCGGAGTTCAATGGTTACGCACCCGGATTTTTGCGACATAGCGATACCATATGATATTGCTATGTTGGCGGTTGTCTGCAAATGCAGACGTTATAACTCCTCTTTGCTAATCTGAGGGTGCGGGTTTAACCCATTACTGGAGTCTGCATCGGCTCGGACTATGGCGGCGGATGTAGTGAGTATTCTAAGGAGGCTCCGCACGTCCCTCTCCAGGTTCTCGGTCTAGCATGTGTGAGGTAGTCACCTTAAGGGTAGCCGTCTGGTCACGTCAATAGATAACACGAACACTGTATTACAAAAGCTACTCCTTGTGCATTCTATTACTTTAACAGCCTAAACAAACAATTAACTCTACGATACTAAACAGATGTCTACAAACACCGACCGAATACGTAACTGAATACAAGTAACCTCGTACCTTAATACGTGGATCGCGAAGTAGCTCGGCAAAGTGAAGGTGGTGGAAATAAGGATCGAGTATGGAAGGAATAGGTGTAGGAGACCAAGGGAAGATCACGAGCTCGGAAAAACTGGACTATGCGGCTGAGAGGAAGAGGACCGAGTCCCTAGCTTGGAGTTTAGCATCCACAGATGCGGCGCTCGACTAATATGTGTCACTCGGATGATGTATGGCGAGTGACACCAATTACTGAATTAGCCTGCGCTGTCCTACACTATATATATAGTGTGTGTGAGACTGCATCATATGACCAGACAATAGGCTACTATAGTAAGAACGTGACAGATGTGACAGTATTGAGTAAAGAGCTGTTGGTGTCGCTTTGTCAGTGACTGTTACAAAACTGCACTCGGGCTGAGGTTGGCCCGATAGGTTTTTGACAAGTCATTCGTCAGACTAGTCAACATTGACAACAAGCTGTCGTACGTGTCGTGATCGTAGACATTTTTACCTAACATTTGACATAAAAACAGAGCCATTACACAATGACTACATTTACTGTATACTTTACTACGATAATTACCTAACAGACGGTCGAAAGATCCAGAGGAGCGAAACATTGTCAGTGTAAGGCTTGTAGCAACAAACAAATCATACACAACTCTGGTGATAGACAGAATCCATGTTATGACGTCAGCGCGCCAAGGGTTCAAAGATGAAAGGTCAGAGCCACTCAGCCAGTTATCGCAGAGTTGGCCAATCTACATATATATAATATAATTATAAGTATCCCAAATTAAGTCTGGGAATTGATAATAATTATATATTCTACTACTTATCGTTAATCAGAAACAAATAACGTCAATAAGTGTACATTTCGCCAGCAGACGATTGATCATTGAGTCCCCTAACACCAGGTGGCTCTAGTCCTCTAGTCTACGCTTAGACTGGTACCCGGTCGACAGTTCCACACGCTACACTCAGGCTACAGCAAACAGTAACGTCAGTGTAGCGAAGGAGTGCGAAGGATAGATAGCCGGAGTGAAGGTGGCGAACGGGTACCAGTCTAGTCTACGCTACGCTACGCTGCGCGTGGTCAGAGCTGTGTGTCAGAGCTGGAGCGATGTCTGCAGGTGAGGGTACTCTTGAGAGTTACTGTGGCTCTATATTTTGGGTAAGTACAGTTTATTTATTCGCAAAGTTTTGAGTTAAGTATTTTGAAGTCACTGGCAATCTTTAAGCATTTTACGGAACTCATTGAGTTTGTTTATCGTTCTCACAGTATGAGTATGAGCAAAACTTTAGTTACATGTTTGCCCTCCACACCTTCAGCACCACTCACTACCTGCTATAGCTACATACATTGTCGCTATAGCAACCCCATACCAGAGGCGAAGCGTGCAAGCTGACCCACTCAAGCCTATATAAGGATCCCCACACATACATCGTAACCACTGTACATCATCTACATAACCCTAACCCTAAGCTCCCTAAACCTAAGCCTTATACACCCCTAACCCCTCCGTGTACTGTAGTGTGGGATTGACATGCATGCACTGACCAACATTCAAATTTATCTCTCTGCAGGATAGCCAGCTGTCATGGAACACCACGACTCCTGACCTGACACCATGCTTCGAGTGGAGCTGCTTGCTGTGGGTTGCCTGCGGCTTCTATTGGGTCTTCTTCCCCTTCCACTATGCATCCTTGCTCGGTTCCAAGGAGCCTCCCCTGCAACACAGCCGGTTCAGTGCGTCGCGGACGGTAAGAACTAATAAGCTGCATGGGCATGTTTCGTCCACTTATTCGGGCAGTACGAACGTAGGAAACATTTGCGATGGCCAACCAGTTGCTGTGTGTAGGTAAACCCTACTATTTTTTTGGGCAAGTGTTGAGCTACATGAACTCACAACGCACGTTAACTAATCAATTATATTACAAGTTAATAATCTATAGCAGCTCCCAGTGCTTACTTTACCTAGGTAGTACTGGTAGTACAGTAGTACTACACTCTGCAACAGGTTGTGCCAAAGGTTCCCTGTCGTGGAGAGAAGGGCTGTGTAGGAAGTTTTCAGAGTTGCGATTTTGCCGTTTTTTGGTGGAATTCCGCTTTTTTAACAGCCCGGGTCGATTTTGTGAAACGTCAAAATTTGTAATAAAATTTTTTTTTAGTTAATAAGTTAAATATTAGTACAGAAATAATGTTCAATCTAGACTGTGCGACTAATATTAATAGCAAGAAAATTGTGATTTCAAAGTTAATTCTAGATGCCAGGAAATGGCCCAAGATTGCTTTTTTTTTTTTTTTTTTTTTTTTTTTTTTTTTTTTTTTTTTTTTTTTTTCGGAAAGCTTTCCTTACCCCGAGAGCTTCTGGAGGGCCTTTGTGGCCCCCCAGGCCCCCGGCAGTTGTGGGGCGCTTGCCCAGCCCCCAGACCCCCGTGCTGTTGAGGCTTCAGTTTTTTAGCTCATCTGACATAGTCAAGATGCCAGCTTGTGAACGCATGATCGTCGCGTCCGTCCTCGCCTGCTGTCTGTGCGTACGAGCGTCCGTCGCCTCGTGCGCGTCCGTGCCGGTAAGCAGGTTGGCCAAATCTTAACCGCATGGGTCGACGTACGTCACGATATGTCGGCACATTGGGGGGATCGCAAAACGAAGTTGGGATGTCGAAGCTGGGGTCAAGGTCAAAGTGCAAAAGGGTGTGAAAAGAAGGGGGAACATTCACTCCTTAACTTAAGGTATCAGGGAGGAAATGCAGGATTGCGCCACAATGTAAATGGGCTCGACCAGGCTCGTGATAGTTGGTGGTATAGCATCGATTGGTAGGGAAAAGCATCATTGTGGCGCGAAATTGGAGGGTCACAGGGTCAAAGGTCAATGGCAGCAGGGCAGATTTGTTAGACTTTTCTGAGGACATGGTCTGAACGAGCGATTGAAAAAACTTTTTTGTCGTTCAGCGGTGACCTAGCATGTTTATGGGCATTATTGAAAGGACCATGAAATCACTTTGTTGCTGAGCATGCGGACAGAGGTAATGTGTCAGATAACCTTTTGACACGCCTCAAGAGGAGGGTTGAACTTGGATTTGTTGACTGTCTGTTAGAAGAATTTGACTGCCGGGTTTGCTAGTAGAAATCTATACAATGCTGGACGTATTGAGGCTTACAATGCACTAGTGAAATTTTCAAACAAGCTAAAATTTGGTTAGAAGAACGGTGTAGATGTGGCCTTAAAGCTGTATAGATTTCATGGCATTCTGTACTGGCAGTTATGTACATGTAACGTATGCACTGCCAGGTGGCCTGCTGCAGTGCATGTGTTGGTGAGTTTTGCCGTGCGTTAAATTGGTTACAGGTGGGCAGCTCTTCTATTTGCAATTGCCAGGCCTGTAGGCTTGCGTAGGTTAAATGATGAGTGTTACCTATTTCTGCGCTTGCAAAACAGCTTGTTGTACTACGTAGCGATGAGAGCTTCCAATCTTTAATCTGAGACACTTAAACGTACGCGCCATCTCGTGGCAACTTTCATAACGTATCAACGACATTCCTTGAGAAGGTTCCTGATACCATCCCTGTGCATTCACTGTTTCGGGCGTGTGGTATGTGAACACATTTGGGACTGAAACAGGGTTTACTAGAATCCCACCAACTCGCCACCACAGAGTCACCCGCAGTAAGGAAGTTTAGATGAGCGCTGGTCGGCTCTGCGGCACTTGTTTTTTTCAAACCTCAGCAATCACAACCTCTTGAGTTTGATTAATGTGTAAACCTCCATCGACTGAAATGGCTGATTCTGTAAGGCCCACATTAAAAAGAATCTTTGTGTTGCCGCTCACCTGACCCAGGCTGAAAGTTCGGGGTAGGCTAGCGTATAGGTCGGTTTTTTTTTTAATGGGCTTTTTTACAAATTCAGCATGGTGTCTACATGCTCAGGTGTGCTTGTGTGGAGTGGTGTGCTTTTATGTTGAATGTTTGTTTTGCTTGGTACATATAATCAGGAGTCTATCAATAAAATTGATTGACAGACTCCTGATATAATGTATTGCTTACAGATTTATATAATGTACAGTGATACAATTTGTAAAAAAAAAAGAATGGGAAGGGTCAATAAAAATGTTTTGAGTCGGACCCTTTTTGGCGGGTCGGTCGGGTGAGGGCAAACAAACAATATTTCTATTATGGCCTAATCGCTAATGGTGGCTCGTGTAATGTTTTTTTTAGAGTGCATGAGCACTAGACATTTCGAGAATTGTGTTGTATTGACATTTACGAGCACGACATTGGCCTTTATCACAGATTTCTATAGCATATACATTAGCAGGCTTTGTAAACGGGTTACTGAAATCCTAGCTAGACCTAGATGTTAATTTCTACCCCTGCTGCAGTGTAACAACTAGCTTGCGCGTAGAATGTTAATTCGATCGCCCGCAACAGCTGGCAAGACGGGTGCCAGCGTGGCTTTTGCGACTGATTTAACATTGCTTGCTACAATGCACCGAAGGTTTATGCTGCATTTACGCCACCCACGCTGTGGCGGGGGTGTTGATTGATCTCTGGGCACCGAGTCAAAAATTGTCTGAAGAAATTGTGTAGTGTAAAGTGTATTAATGATTAAGAATGCATAGGGATGAGTAAGTCTAAGGAGGGGAAACGAATCCCTTATAGAAGCTAGCTCAACAATAACTTAATAAAAAAAGACTTGATGGTGCTCAGTTCGTGCGCTATATATGTTGACTTCTTGTTTATGTTTATTTATCACAGTTTTTGCTCAACTTGCAGACAGCTTTCCATATTGTCAGCTGTTCTAACGCCTTCATAATCATATACAGTAACACAGCAATGACACCAAAACAGCCGACTGTGGGGTCCGCGATGTTATCGTGTGTTAATACGACAATCGTAGTGAAGTTTTCCGAATCACTCATTTTGTTAGCTCACCTTGACATCGTCAAGCTGAGCTATTGTCATGGGTCGTCGTCTGTCGTACGTCAGTCCGTCTGTCCGTCCGTCCGTCTGTCCGTCCATTCGTCAACATTTGGGAATTGGCAAGCCAAAAATGGGAATTGCCATTAGTCAGTTCAGGTTCAACGGATTTTGCTCATTTTTGGTATGTGAATGAATAAGGGCTAGGGGTTTTGATATTTAAAAAAAATTATGCAAATTAGGTAGGGTTTGGCAATTATATAGCTTATTATATAGACACGCAGATAACAAACAGTCTGTGGTGTCAAACTCGTCTTGTTCGTTTTACAAGATTTCATTGACAATATCTTTAATGCAAAATTCTTGCTATGAACATATTATGATTTATACTATTATTATTATATTATTATTATTATTATGATATAATGATTTCTGCTAAGAAACATCAAAGCGGGTATAGCGCCATCTACCGTCACAAATTGTGATTCATTTTTGTTTATAAATTATTTATAATTTATATATAATATTATTTATTATTTTCACATAAAAAATTACACATAATTATCAAGAGTATATAATGGGAGTTCTCCCATATATACTCTTCGTTTCTATAATGTACGTCGATGGTTGCTCAATTAAAACTGACTTCTTCTCACTCACTTATTTGTGTCCTTTTTTTGTGGTGAGCTACAGTGTCATTGACGCTTTCATTTGACTTGCCAACAACCTTAGCAGACTCAAGTGTAATATGCGGTTTGAAAAAATCGTTTGGTTGGCTGAAATGTGGGACGACAACTATTAAAAACGTGCTGTCTCATGCATGCCTTGTAGTTAGTCAATTTCGACTAGGTTTCAGATTTAGCAAGTTTGATTTTTAACCGACTCGCGAAGAAATTGCAAGTTGTTTCAAAAGTTAAATTCTAATCCTGCAGACAAATTTGTATATTTAATTTATTCAAGACTGTAGAATTGGATTATTGATATCTATAAAGAGTACATGCTGGTTCTAGCTCCATGAGATATCTTTGTGCGTGTGCAACATTACGATGTATTTTCGCTATAATGCATGTATCGTGATTAATTCGTTGGCTGTTTCAGGTGCTGGCATTGTTGCTGTTCATCGTAGCATTTACGGACTTCTCCTATGCGCTCTACCAGTGGAAACACGATGGGGTGAATCTACCTAACATCTACTATGTGTCGCCAGTTATAATTGCCGGCTCTATGGTAGGTATACATGCAGGCTGTACTAAATATGTCAGCGTATAGGTGGCCGAAATGAATGCGAGTGGGCTGCGTGCCAACTGACACATTCAGGTTGGCTCTCATATATGCAGAGTATGACTTTTTAGAGATATTATTATCAGGAGTGTCGTAATATAGATGACATGATCATATATTATGACAATCCTGATATTATTTGTCATAAAATATTACTGTAAAGGTTTTGTTTACTGTATTACTGAAAGCCAGGGGCGTAGATAGCGGGGGGGGGGGGAAGAATGCATCTCCCCACTTATTGACGTGGGGGTGGGATGGCGTGTACAATCATCCTCCCCTACTTTCAGGAAGAAAATGGGTGATTCAAAATTTTCTAGGGGAGGACCCGCATGTACGAGAAATCCTGCATTGGCCACTGTCGAGCGTAACAAATTGAGCACCCCCACTTCAAAAATCGTTCCGCGGCGCCTGTAGAGTACTGTAAACAAAGATTATGATTATGAATATTTGTATGCTTATCAAAAGTCAAATTTGAGTTCATCTGACAGGGGCGTAGATAGCGGGGGAATGGGGGTATATCCCCCCACACTTATTGAGGTGGGGTGGCTTTCATCCCCTCCTACTTTCAGGAAGAAAATGGGGAAAAATTTAATATTTTACAGACAATAAATACTGGATATTTATCTACAAATCCGTCATCGCTATTCATACTCTCCTAATGTCCATTACAGAAATGGAACGGGACATACATCAACTGTAAAATGGCTGTAACTCGTTCCAAAAATGACATTTGATTATTTTACTGAAACTCAGACGGTTAATTTTGGACGCATTCCCCATATATACGATTTTTTTCCAAAATCCCCAAATCACGTCTTATCACTGCTCATGAAAGTTAAATCCTTGTTTTATTCAAAATTCGAATAGACCTATTGAGAGTTGGGATATTGAATTTTCACGGGGATTGAATGGGAAAATTTAATTTCATCTCACTTTTTGGGGGGGGGGGTGCTGAGACCCGACCGGAAGTATATTCCCGATTTTGTATAAGGAGTGAAAATATGCACTTTTTGGTTCAAATCTGGTTGTTTTTCTCATATTTTTTTGCAGTTTTAACATTCTCAGTAAAATATACGTTCAGGGGGAGATGATTCCAGTGAGCACTGTAGTTGTCAACGGGGGGTCGGTAGCACGGGGTGGCCCCCCCCCCACCCCTAGAATTTTCAGGGCAAAGATATGTTAGCCTAGGTAAGTCTGGTAACCCCAGTGAGGACATGTACATAGCACAGATTTGGTAGTAATAGTTCGTATTATTTGGTAAAAATAATCAAATCAACAGTGATGTTATTGTGATGAAGATTGTTTAATAGTGCTGCCTCATAGTGCAGGAAATTGCATCGAAGAGGTGTTACTTTTAACAAAAATTTCCGGAAAAATTCCTCGGCCCCCTCCTAAACAGGAGGAAAAATCCTGATATTCTAGGATAAAGATGTCCAAAATTGATTGCTTTTAGATTGCAACTTTTCAACAATTCCACACTGGGAGGGGGACACCCCTAGGGTGTGGGTCCTTCCTACACCCCTATCTGAAATCCCTAGGGCGGGCCCCTGGACCCCACCCATTAAGGGCTTTGCGCCAAGGCGCTCGCGGTGTGCGCTACTCGCGCACACTCTTCATATACATTGCGATGGAAGTAACAGCGAAATCATGCCCCCCACAACTGAGGACCTGTCTACGCCACTGACTGAAACGTATTTTGAAAGTACAAGGCAGTCGTGCACGTAGTGGACAAATCCATTGATTATCTGTTTGCACATGTACTCACTTACCAAATAATAGTAGTCATCAGGAAAGTACAAGTAGGATAGACATACATTATCGGCCCATCGGGACCTTTCTTATCTATCTGTGTACCCAGCAAGTCCAAGGGCTAATATCTTTTATAAATAGCTCCAACTGACGTCACATTCTTCTTCTAGTTATAATGTCAGATGCAGATAGTGTGGTTGCGTATATATCACTCTCTTCTATGGCAAATGTCATACAATATTTGCATTTCATTACAATACGTGGAAAAAACACTGATATAAGATTTTTTTGCCGCATAGGAAGTAATCGGAATTATTCAGATAGTAGAATGCCTAGTAGACAGAAGTGCCTATATGCATCTCCAGCCATCCCTCAACATGACAGCACAAGTCCAACCTGCATCCCCTGGATGCGTATTTGGCGCGTATGCAAAACCATCCTAAAAACACAACACGGGCAACAGCCTCCCTGATGTCGGTCTGGAGCACTGCGACTGCCTGTAGGAAGAGGAGGAGGAAGAAGAGGCAGGGAAGCCCCGTGCCCCTGAGGCCAGCTCGCCTGTCCAGCTGTACGTTGATCATCACCAACACCTGCGGGTACGATGCGTAGAGATGAAACACGATAGAAGATATAGCAGTTTTAATCGAAAGCTGAGGTCATAGGTCATTCTGGGAGCTTCCTCGTCAAGCTGCTGGGTGTCGCACTTCCATTTTGCATTTCTTCGACTTCCGAAGCATAAATTTCTCCCTTTTTTCTCTCTGTGATCTTTTACCGCCGAGGGGGGGGGGGAGTTGCCCGTGTTGTGTTTTTAGGATGGTTTTGCATACGCGCCAAATACGCATCCAGGGGATGCAGGTTGGACTTGTGCTGTCATGTTGAGGGATGGCTGGAGATGCATATAGGCACTTCTGTCTACTAGGCATTCTACTATCTGAATAATTCC